CCACCGACTCCCACTTCACTCTAAAAAAAAAAAACAAACAGACAAATTCTGATGGCTTGACAAATCTCCTGCACACACACACGCGCAATGTCATGGTCCCATTAAATCTCCCTTAAAATGTGTCCCAGATGGTGCCCCACGAGCCCGGTAGTCCTCCGCATGGATAGGAATCACACCCACTTATCGCCGCACATCATATCAGATCAATATGAATGTATGCCTAAATGTAGGGAGGGAGGCCGGGGGGTCAGAGAGGCTTCCTAGGGTGAGGGAGCTCAGTAGGGGCCTTGCTCCCCGCTAAGTGGGGATAAAAAACACTCAGCAAGGGGCATGGGAATGCAGTGTCCCTTATTCCTACTATCAAACATGTTCAGGAGTTTATTCATGATCTGGACACACCATGTTAGCTGTCGGTAGTTGTAATAATCGTCATCGTTGGTACATTTTGTCTTTTTCTTAAAAACAAAACAAAACACAAGTGCTTGGCTACAGTATTGCTACAAATTCGGTCCGAGACGTAACGCAACTCGGAGGGACAGGCATAGGATGCCTCCCTCTGCGTCTCATGTTCAGGATGACGGCTCGGGCCAAAGGCTCCAAAGGAGGCAGGAAACAAACCGAACATTATTACGGTCGCCATGAGAGGATCCGTGCTGGCCCGCGGCCGCTGGCAGCCGGCGCCAGCGGGCACCGCACCCCACGCCTCTCACAGTAGGGGGCGCCACAGAGGGAGACAGGTCGAGGGCAAAGGATCAATGTGCGGCAGTATCGTCTGCCAATCACCTTTGTGTGCTGATAGAAAAGCTTGCTAAAGGGATTTACATACGATTTTACACTCCGCCCGGCTACATGCGGACACGTTTGATTCTGTGTGCGTCATTACGTCCGGGCAATGCTTTTCATATAAGCATACAAAATTGTTGTTTTCTTTCAACCCAAAAATGCATATTGATGAGACACGACTTTCTGGGGGAGTGTCCTTTAAACAGATTTGACAAAACTGGAGCTTTTTGCCATCGGGTCTGTGTTAACAGACAACGAAAAGAACACTGTACTTCCTGTGAAACATGGAGGAGGCTCAGTTATATTCTGGGGCTGCTTTGCTACTTCTGGCAAATGGTGTCTTGAATCTGCAGAATACAATCTCAAGACTATCAAGACACTCTGAAGCAAAATGTGGTGTCAGAAAGTTTGGTCGTGGCTCTGTTTTGGGGCTGCTTTGCTACATCTGGCACAGGATATCTTGAATTGCGAAGGATACAATGAAATCTCAAGACTATCAAGACATTCTGGAAAAATGTGATGGTCGGTGAGAGAAAGCTTGAAACGCGGAAGAGGTTCTGTTCTGTTCTGCACCTGAGTATCACAAATCTCTGCAGTTTCCAGTGAAATCTTTCAGACTTATCAAGGCATTCATGAAGAAATGTACTGCCTCGTGTCAAAAAGTCTCGGTTGGGGCTGCTTTGTTATATCTGGCGCGGGTGGTCTTGAGTCTATGTGATGCAATAAAATCTCAAGACTATTAAGAAATTCAGAAGCAATCCCAAGATTAAAAGTAGCATCTTTTGGGTCCTGACCCCCGAAATTCGAAAAGCAGAGCTAAGAAACTGACTGCTCCCC